AGCATCACGAGTCACTGGACGGCGGTCGACCCGGTCGTCACCGCCCGCCACCGACTCTAACGATGAGAACGGTGACGTCCACTATCATGTGGAACGTCTTGTTGAACGACGTATGTCGGTCTCACCAACATTTTCAGCCGGTCGTCACCAGGGTCAAACCCTATCTGGTGAAGTGGCGGGGACATCCCGATTCCGAAAACTCGTGGGAGCTTGAGGCGCCACTTCGGCAAGATTGCCCAGTCGCCGTGGACGCTTTTGATCGGAAAAATCAGGATGTCCCGCGTCATCAGACACCCCGCGCTTCCCGGTAATAGCCAGGGAAGTAGAAGGGCCATGAGCTGAGCTCGAGCAGTGGCCCTGAGCTTTTGCGGTCAAAGACACAGAGCTCGCGGGAGCATTAGGGGGTAACCCATACGTTGCAGGGCGACAATCCGAAGGAAGTCGACAGCGTACCTTGCGTTTGGCAAACAGAAATCCGAGGTGTCGCTTGACACGCACGTCCACTTCCTTGTGGCTCGACTGTAGGTTATACAGTGAGGAAAGTTTCCGGAGCCGTTGCACCCATCGTTAAATGAGCGCTTCGTCATCTGCGCGCTTTCGCCAGGGGCGAGCACTACAGGTACTGTCCGCATTGCGGGTACACGAGAGCCACCTCGTTGAGCACTCAAACGAATGCAATGAGCTTCCAACGGAAATTCTTGTGGAAACAAGAAACGAGCTCGAAGAGCCTTCCGTTTAGCAAGTTCATCTTCCGTTCTGGTCGGGGGAGGGGCGATGATGTGGACGCGTAACGATCGAGTTACCGCGTCCTTTGCTTCCACAGCGGGGTCCGCTAGGCGGAAGCCATATTCCACACGAGGATCAATGACCGGCCGTGGATCGTCGCGCTTTAGAGCCGCCCTATGGGCAGCTTCAAAAAGGGGTAGAGTTTTATAAACAGCCAATGCGATTGCGGATGCAAACTATTCTAAACGTCTTTTGTTCGGTCAAACGCTGCCGATAGTGGCGTAACATCACCGACATGAGAGTACCGCTTGCCTTCCTATGATGAAAAAATTAATCATTCTTTAACTTAACTTTTAAATCAGATGAGTTTGTGTTAAGTTGTCATATGATACAAATATGACCAATTTTGCTATTTTATATGCTCTTGGATGCCGTCTTCATGGCTTGCAAAGTTGGTGCGCGATGAAGGTCACGCCAAAGCTTTACAATGGCCCACGTTTGACCTTTTATCCTAAGACGCTGAGCTTGTTCAGCTGCACGACTAAGCCCAGAGTGCACGATTTTATTTTCTAACAGTAAATGTGCCAAGTGAGGATCGCCCTGAGTTTCCACCATCGCCAAGTCCATCAGTACTTGTTGGAGGCTATTCTGACCCTTTAATTTACCATTACCCACTAGAAATTTAGCAGTGGGAGCGAACAATTCGAGTCGAAGAGCTTGCAACTTCGTTTCACGCTCGCAATTAAGTTTCACATCTCGTTGTCTGCTTGGTTTCAAGCTCAAAATGCCCACAGCTAGACGTCGATCAGTCTGTATCTCATTTGGGAGACCTTGAGTAAGATAAAATGCTACTAATTTGTCCAATGCTAGCCCCACTATTGCATTCACAATGGCTCGCGCTTGACTCCCTACTACCTCAGCCGTTAATTGTAGTTTCGTTTTCGCTTGAGGTATCGGGTGCACATTGTAAAGCTGTTTAGCTGGTGAAGAGTGTAGCCATTTAAAATTATAGACACACCATGGTGACACAGCTCGGGCGTGATTGACAGAAGCCTTGTGCTTGTCTTCAATCTCTTTTGAGCGTTTAGCGTTAGCGTAAATGGTCTCCAGCTGACGCCGAATATCGCTCAAACACACAGTGCGATCTCGTTGACGAGAGCACAAAAAGTCTTGCAAGGTCAAACCATCTCTAGAAATTGATATGCAGGCCAATTGAGTATGCAGCACCCGCAACCACGGACGCTTTTCAAGATATCCGTCGGTTTTTTCCAATGCAGATAGCACGTCCGCTTTTGAAAACATTTTCTTTTCAAATTGTGTCATTTCTTCATCTTCAAATGACTTCAAGTCTAAACGCTGGTTGCGCTTACGCTTACAAAGTTGATAAAAGACTGACTCGATGAGTGTGACATCCAGCGCTAAGGAATCGTCAAGATCACGCCAATCTTTTTGAAAGTTAGAAGTCATGTCACAACGTAAGAAACTATTCGTGAAGAGCCACTAGTGTCCGTTCAAGCAACACTCGGCAATCATCTCGCAAAATGGAAAATTTACTGCTTGATACGTTTGGAAAAGAGGAGGAAGACAACATGCTTCACCCTTAAATTCACAATCATAATGGCCTTGGGTGCTTTTCAAAGTATTCATCAGATGAACGAACGAATGGACAATGCCCAGTGGCCGAAATTGCATGGAGTATTAGCGGCCACTTTAAGAGCTACAATGTCATTGTGTAGCGAATCGTTAAAAAATTTACGATTTGGAGGGATTCGACTGGAATTATGGGTGGCTTTTGTGTCCACTGTAAAGATCTACTTTACTCCAATATTTGGCATGGTTCACTACGTTGTACGCTGTATTGTACGCACTCAAGTTGCGATCTCGTCCTAAGTCTCAGACACAAAGCTTGAGCTGTGATGACGCCGACATGGAAACGATACATTTATGCAGATTAAGGCTATGTCTTCAAAGGCATCATGTGATAAGCATTCCTGCATCCTTCGTTGCATCTTTCACTAGTGAGTGTTTGCCACAGTTCGACATTTCATTACTAGAGCTCCCGTTTTTATTGCAAACAACATGATTATGCTTATTTATGTCGCTCTTCCAGTGGCTTTGACAAGCAGGTCATTTAGCACTTTATTCGTCTACAGCACTATATTTCACCAAAACGAAGGCAGTAAGGAGCATCGGCATTCTTAAGTTGCACGACTTCTAAATCACTGGACATATCGCAGTCAAGAGCTCGATATTTTGCGAACGTTGCATTAGCAACGTTCAGATGCACTCTCAAGTCTTTTGACCCGTAAGCAGCAACATTTCTAGCAGTACCTTACAACCTTTTTTGCTATTATTGTGTGGCTTTCGCACCATCTTCAAGGTGTGATTGTCTCAAACCTTTCATCTTTCTAAAAGCTCATTTCAAGAAATCATGGTCCGATTTGTTCAACATGTACCAGCTGTCGATCAAAGTGCGCGATGATTGCATGACGTCATCCCTGAGCTCTTCTTGAAGAAATCATCAAAGTTTACACTTCTGTCGATGATTCCGAGGCACTTTTTATACTGAAAATCATGACATTCATATGGTAACGCTCACATCTTTCCAAAGTCGCGTACCAAGTGCAAGTACAAGGGACGCAAGCATCGTCAGACAGCATGGTCGACCTCCGGCTTTATCGCGAGCTCATTTGAACATCTCGATTTTTCACTGTTGTAGATGCTGCAATTTCGCTTAAGATTTTGGCCCGTGAGCTTGATCGTCTTTGGGCCTTTGGTGGCGCAGAACAACTTGACGAAAAGTTTAATAAGAATTTTAATAGCAAAGCTTACAAAGTGAGTAACGATTGTTAAACTGCAATGAAGAATGTGGTGGTGAATAAAGTTTGGCAACGATTGAGCAAGAATTAATCCGTGAAGTCAAAAACGGAGCTGTTGCATATCGAAGTAGGAAAGAGACCAGTTTTGACCTTACGTTGGCGCTGAATCACTGATACCAGCGAATCTTTTTGAAGTGTTGATTCATTCTTTTCCTTTGAAGTCTGCAACAGTCCCGATGCCCGTCGTGTCCACACTGGAGTCGCAGGAGATAATTTCTTGGGCGTCAGATTGAGTGAAGGCGATCGACGAAATAGATCAAAAGTGAGTTTAGATCTCGTAGGCGTTTCCAGTAGCTCTTTGCTCTGTTTAATGCGCAGAGGCGTCGGTGGTGGCGAACCAGAAATGATATCAAACATAGTCGTTTGTTGCAAGACTGCATCCGTCGTCGTATTACAGATGGACTTCTTTTTGCGCTTCCACGGCATCGCAGAATTAATTTTCTGGTCAACATCAACCTTAGTGGTACCAATTGTTTCCACGTTTGTGCCTGTAATATCTTGAGAAATATGCAGATCGTCATTGCCATTATCACGACAAGTCACATTCATCGTCACGACCGTACTTAATGACCCAGTGACCTCGGTGGCAGTAGCTCTTTTCTCGCTGACATCACGCTTTTTATAAAGATTTGAACTCGCGAATTGTGTGTCAAACTCTTCGACAAGTTGACGAGTTCGCTTTAAAAGCCGTACCACACTAGACGATGATATGGAATCATTCGGACGAATTGCAATGGGCGAAGATCGGCAAGCATCCTTTCTATCTGGCACCGATACGAATGATTTCTGTATCATAGACTTTCCAAATGTTTCTTTTGTGCTTAATGGGTCGGAGGCTGAAGCGAGCGATTGGATGTGAGACTGAAAGTCATCATCCGAGTCATCAAGCAACGAGCAAACATTTTTCAGTGGTTGAGCACGATTAAGACGAGGAACATTGCTTCTTGCAGCTTTCGAAGCTCGGAGATCGACACTCGTAACTTTGTTCGTCACAGTCACTGACTCCAACAGGTCACGCTGATCTGACCCCTCAAACGATTTCAATATCTTCTCAATCATTAACACAGACTCCACAAGGTCGGGAGTGAGCGCATTAATCTGTGAGTGAAATGCAACATATACTCGAAGAGCACACAGCAGCAACCGAGATGAACTACCAGGCATTAGTTTCAAAATAGATGCACCGTTTGCAGCCGAATCTTTCATTAAAAGACCCAATAAAAGCGATGTACACCCTCCGAGAATTACATCTTCTGGATTCCAGTCGTCGTCTTCGTCAATAAGGATTACTTGAGCTTCACTTCCTTCAATCAAATGCTTAAACGACTGAACTTTAGACAGGAAAAACTCCACAAAGAGAGCACAAGCACTATGTTCTGCCAGATTAGTACCTTCAATCCGGCACACAGATACTTCGGCCAATGCAACGCGGTTCTCTTCGCTAAATTCGATGCAGTTCACAAGCACACTTAGCAGCAACAAGCACGCGTCGAAGCCCCAACTTTTCTGCATCCATGACTCCTCCGCTGATGCAGCTTTACATAGGCTTGAAAATGCACTTACTAAAATCTGCATACCGTCAAGTGCATGTATATTACTCGCTGCCTCGCTTTCATGATGCGTCAAATTGATAAGCACACGTATAGTTGACAGCAAAACTTCGACTGCTAACGATAGGCTCGATGGCGCAGCGTTCCACATCCTCTGTGCTTGCATATACCAGCTCAGATCACTCAGTAGCTTAACGAGTTGTAGTAACACGAAAAACAGATTTTGCTGTTTTGACAAGTAGTGCTTCACATCCACTGCTTGACATGCTGCTTGACCCAATAAATTAAGCACCAAATTAACAATATGCAACGAGCGCATGTTCTGTTTTCCCACGTCGTTCGCTACTGTCGTTGATAGCACATTCTTGAGCCCTTGAACTTGTCTGATGAGTTCATAGGTCAATATATTGAGCCCTCCAGTCCGCATCAGCAGACACTTTCTTTCAAAAATGCCAACAACGTCACTTGATTGCTGCCTATGTGGTGGCATTAAGTTAAACAAAGCACTTGCATTTGGTTGCAGTAACTTAAGCAGGGAGGCACAGAGCGCACTAATTACCGAAACGTGCAACTCTTCTCCAGCATGAAATACCTCGTGATCTTGCAAAAGCTTCTCCAACTTCATCCGACACATTGCATCCATATCCTGCATCGTTGACACTTCGTAAGTTGACCTTAAAAGTGTCACCTTTTCGTCAATCTGTTTTCTCTTCAAGCATCTTTTCACCGATGTTCTCGTGTGTGACACTATCGTATCTTTCTTCTCGTCTCTTTCTCCTTGTATCTCCTGCTTCAAAGCATGTACGATTGCAGTCAGCACTTGATTGTCAAAATAGTCCTCAGCAGCACAATGTGACAAAAAATAGACCAATACGGCCATCGAGAGTCGAGCCGTCTCTTCTTCAGGCGCCGTTGTGAGTCTGAAAAGCAGCAGCTTTTTCATTTGACCTCTCACTCTTGACAGCGAAATTATTTGAAGGATCTGTGGTTCTTGTATCAAATGTAACAGCTCGAGAAGGCTTCGAGTTTGCGCATGGTGCATTCTGGGTGCGTGACAAGATTCTAATAATCCGTCAAGCAGGTACGACACGTGGTCCAACTTGGCTGCTAAACGACCGTCTTCTTGCAATACCATCGTACTCTGTAAAACTTCTTTTGTTTCATGTTCAACGCTTGAAAAATGGTCCACATGTGCATGCTGGCGACCGTAAAGTGCAAACTTGCAGCGCACGGCGTCGGGACTCAGTCGCGGTATCTGGTCATCAATTATGGAAGCGCCACCGCAAGCAATAGAAGGAGAAACGTTGATGTTGGATGAGGAATTCTCGTCGGTGGTAAGTCGCGGACGTCTGTGCGAGTTTGAAGATGATGCCATGCACTTTGTCTGCAATTCGAAAATCTTAGATTTGAGTGCGCAAGGTTTGGGATTCGATTTATATTTAGGTTTGTAAATTTGTCGTATACTTAGTATCCTGAGCGTTTGATAAGAACTTAAATTCGCTTTTCACCGAATTCTAGTAGACAACCAGCTCTGCTCAGGTCATGAGGGTTGAGAGACTAGCATTGGCCATGTGAGCTTGAGGATGTCAGCCAGCCAAGTGATGAGTGCAAGTTTTATAATCATTATGATGCACAGACCGAGAGGATGTCTTTTGCATCAACATCCTCGGTCATGTACATTTAAGCTACTTACATTTGATATAAGCTAGTAAAACTTTCTAAACTTGATCAGTGGTAATTTGATAAGGTCAATATTTGAAGCGAGCTCTGTAACTCAAAAACTCTCTCTCTGCATGGTTATCTTCATTATGACATTCAAGGCTGTACGAAGTGCGTCAGCTTCTCCACCTGCTGTAGGTCATCTGTCATCAACGATTTCAGCATAGGCTCATCATCGCGGGGGTCATATAAGTGAGCAGTGCGATCAAGTAACTAGCTTGGCTACTGCTTTGCAAATTTTGCTGGCTTCAATGACGTACAACATTTGCTCCATATAGCTATTGCTACCAAAATTTGGCTTTGTGTAAATCTTTACACTCTGTGCTGGCTTCTATCTGGATGTGTATAACCGCCGCTGCATTGCACAACTTAGCACGATTGCAACTCGATCCATCCTCCGAATTATTGGTTGTGGCTCCCAGGCATACCTGCTTCTTTCATCGGTCGTTTAAGGCCGCTGGCTTGCTCCTCAGATCGGAAGCCCTAAGAAGCGTTTATCCTTCGACTAAACACGCTGGCAAAACACTTGCCCGTAGCACGGTCTTGAAGCAATATTCTCTGTCTGACGTCTGGCATCCTCGCGGGCAGTACAGGCACCAGTTTTGTCACAGGACATCGCACTGGGGAATGGTCCATTATCCATCACTATGCCTTACTGTATTCCGTTCCCATGTTCTTGATGTCGCCGCTGCCAAATCGCGTTTTCCCGACAAGGACAGACTTGTACCTAAGCCCTGCTTCTCGATATAAATGTTTACAAGCGTGTTATATGCGGTCTTTTCGATTACCCTTAACTTCTACTGAAGAACCTTCGCTCTCGTTGACTCACCCACAATTTGCAATTTGTATGCGCTGCACTTGGACAATAGGAAATAAACCTGTTCTTAGTTATGAAACCCCATGTAGCTATTATGTGCTACGCTTCGCCATTACATGGAGGTGTAACTTCTGCGTGCATTGTAGCGTTTTACTAAAAAGATTGTAGTATAGTGCAGCGGGGCTGCCGTAGCTCTTTGCTTAAGCTAAGGTCACCGATCTTACGCTCTATACCAGAACTAGTACGAGTGTAGCAAATCGCAATCCACTCCCTCCAAGAGTACCTAAAACAAGGCAAATATACTCTTCCGTTCAAAATTGAAACTGTATTTACTGTTATATCAGCGGCAGAGCCGCCCATATCTGGAACCTTAGGTTTTCCTAATCAAACAGTAGAGCCAAATTAAATTACATAACTACTGGCAAGCCCGCCATATTGGCTTCTTGTTATGGTGTAGCCTCACCATTGTGTGATTACACCAACTTGTGTTATTCCCACCTTTGCACAGTCACATCATCTGGGATGACCCACCCCTGTATTCCAGGGTACATGCAACCCCGTTACACTCCGGGTACGTGTAATTCCTGTTACACTCTTCCCCATCAAAATTATGAATACCCCCGATTCACATTTAAGTGATGCCTCATACGGGGCTCGCGTGTCTGAGACACCGTTTCATCCCTAGGACAATCTTAAAACATTCTCCGCTAAGTTACCCCTGTGTCTATGACTCGAAAAACACCCAGCCTCGCTGGTCATAAGGGCACCTGAAGGCAGAGCTCTTCTTCGTCTTCTGCACGCGGTGTATCTCCGGTCAATACGTCCGCGGCTGCACGGGAAGCACATCTCAACCTCGGCAACCAATCCACTTCGAGAAACTGGATAAAATCGAATACGAGTCGAATGCTATGGGAAGACAATGAGGGCGAGGTGCACCAATGGCGCGACGTGAACCCTGCTTTAAAGTTGCGGACACCGTGTCTGTTTCCCGACCTCTCGACTTGCGAATAGAGTGGTATTAGTATCAATCGCCTCGACGAGGCACAGAAACAGCAGTTTGAGGCTGCCCACAGGGCGACTCTCCTGCACTCGTATCCACGTTCAATATTAGACCCTCGTGTGGAATACGTCTTCCGCTCGGCGGATCCCACTACTGAAGCAAAGGACGCGATCACCCGAGCATGGGGTTCTACGTAGTCGGACCCCTGGCCACTCCACAAGCCGAGCTTGATCGACGAAAAGCTCTCTGAGCTCGCTCCTTGGAACCTCAAGAAATTTCAATTAATAGGTACCGCGCTTGACTTCGCGGTCAAAGAGGAGACGTTCCTATGCCCGCAATGCGGACTATTCCTGTGGTGGTCGCCCCTGGTGAAACCGCGTCGGATGTTAAGGGGCTCTATGAGCAATGGGTGCAGCGGCACTGGAAACTTTCCTCTCTATCTTACAGAGGAGCGACAAGGAAGTGGGTGTGCGCGCAGAACGCCATCGTCAATTTGGGTTTTCCAAACACGTTTCGCAGTGCCAACTTCCTGCGTATTGTCGCCCTGCGACACATGAAATAATTCATCACGCTCTTGCAAGCGCTGTGGTTTCTCACACGGGTGAGTCTACGACCACAGCGGCTCAGGGCCATAGCTTGAGCTCAACTCATGGCTTTTTGGTTTGCCGGTCTCCTGCCGAGAAGTGCGGGGCTTGCAACGACTTGAAGCGTCACGATTACTCCAGACTCTCGAGGTTTTCCGCACAGCGGTAGGAGACCTCGGAGAGATGCTCGGCAAAGTACCGATGACGACAGACTTTGTCCACCAAAGCTCGAAGAGCATCGCAAGTCACCGGACGGCGATTGATCAAGTTATCATTGTCTGCCACCGACTCTTCTCGATGAGAATGTGACGTTCACTATCACGTGAAAAGCTTTGTGGGTCGACGTCGTTGACAGGTTTTAACCCAGTATCTTGTGAAGTGGCGGGATACCCAAACTCCGAAAACTCGTGGGAGTTTGAGGTGCAACTTTGGCAAGACTGCCCAGACGCCGTAGACGCTTATGATCAGAAGGATTATGACGCTCTACGTCGTTGCAAGCCCCGCACTTCTCGGCAGTAGCCCAGGATGCCGAATGGCAATGAGCTGAGCTTAAGTTATGGCCCTGAGCCGCTGTGGTCGTAGCCTCACCCGTGTTTGCAGGAAGATGAAAGATTATTCCATGTGTCGCAGGTCGACCTTACGCAGGAAGTTGGCGCTGCGTATTCTGTTTGAAGAAGTTACTCAATTGCTTTTTTTAAACGAATTCATTAGCCTATGAACTACTCTTGTTACTCGAACGCTTATTTTAAACGATTTCATTAGCCTACGAACTACTCGAGTAAATGGACTTCGACGACCACAGCGATACAACAGCTAATACACGCAAGATCATCAAAAGTATGTGGCTACTTGATAATGAAATAGTGCAAATAGTATCATGTAAGGCTTCATACCCGAGAAATAGAGAAGATGGCGTGCTACGCGGACGCCCACTTTCTTGTGGCTCCGCGGTTAGATAGACTGCGAGGAAAGGTTCCAGTGCCGCTGCACCCATCGCTCAAAGAGCCATCATCATCTGAAGCGGTTTCGCCAGGGGCGAGCACCACAGGAATAGTCCGCATTGCGGGTATAGGAGCGCCTCCCCTTTGACCGCAAGTCAAGCGCGGTACTATCAATTGGTATATCTTGAGGTACCAAATAGCGAGCTCGGAGATCTTTTCGTTGGTCAAGCTCTGCTTGTGTTGTAGTCAGGGGCCTGACTACTCGGGTGATCGCGACCTTCGCTTCAGTAGCGGGATCCGCCGAGCGGAAGCCAGATTCCACACGAGGGTCTAAGATTAAACGTGGATACGAGTGCAGGAGAGTCGCCGTGTGGGCAGCCTCCAACGGCTGTTTTTGTGCCTCGTCGAGGCGATTGGTAATGACATCACGTTCTCCGCAAGTCGAGATGTCGAGAAATGGACACGGTGTCCGCAAGGCTCGAGCAGGGCTCACATCGCGCCGTTACCGCACCTCGCCCTCCACGTCTTTCCATGATGGGAAAAGAGTATCCGACTCGCAAACAACTTCCTCCAAATCCTCGACGAGGTAATCCGTAGCCCGTGGTGGGCGCGGTGTGCGGCGCTTGGTAACCGAGAGTTTGGGATGTACTTTCTTTGAAGCCGCGGACGTGCTGTGCGAAGTTGCACCGCGTTACAGAAGAAGAGCTCTATCTCTGAATGCTCTCGAAACCAGCGAGGCTGGGTGTTTTTCGAGTCATAGACACAGGAACCACTGAGCAGAGAATGTTTTACGATGGTCTTGGGGACGAAACGGTGTCTCAGACGCTTAATAGTTTACAAAATGATAACAATCAAAATATCAGTTTAAGTATTTTAATTTTTTAAATGATAAGAAAATAAGTGAGCAACATTAAAAGCTACCAATGTTTACAATTTTATAGTAAGTTGCGCATCAGGCGGTATTGCTACTTTTAAAGCTAAAAATTACCCAGACTGTGGATTTTACCAATAATATATACCAAAATTGGTACGGTCAGTAGGTACTATCATCTAGACGGTGGATACTACAGATGCTGAATACCTTCTGGTAGATACCAAGAATACCATGGATTGTATTGCAAAGCCACTTTTCCTATTTACATTCGAGTTTTAGTTGATTACTGGTACTAAGCTCAATAAGCGCTACGTACCAACCAACATAACTTTTTGCCTTAGATACTGAAGTCAGACCACTGTTCAACTGTACTTGATTGAACCCTTTCCTCAAATTTTATAGACCTGCTATCCTGTAACACAGTCAACTGCGTTCCTACTACATTTTGTACCTGTCATATTTGGATGTGAAAAATCGTGGACTGATATTCAATATCAATGTATGGAGGAAGGATACAATACAGAACGCCTTCGGGCGAAAATCCAATTTATCGTTATTCACACATGATACTGTAAAACTTCATTCTACGTGCTTGGGCTTTCGACCGTTGAGTCGATTCCGGCTCACTCTCGTCTGGCTGACAGAACAGCCAGACGAGCGTTTATTGTGCGTGACGCACAACGTCCCGCTTGCACGACAGAGCGATCCATGATGTCAAAGAGCGCAACGCTCACTGTTGCAAATTATTACATCATGTCGTTCGAGTTATAATGCCGTTTTAAGGTTCATATGTAGGCGGTTAAGTTATATAGTAGTTGGAATACTGGTGTCGCAAGTCATGCCATTTGGACCTCTGAGGTATTCCGTTTTGCGTTCTGTATCCCTGAGTAAAGGGCTTTACGTGCACTTCTGTCGCTCAAACGAGATAAAATACCAACAACGCTCGCAAGGACCTCAACCTCACAATGTCGTCTTTGCAACAAAGTGTGAGAATATCAGTCCAATTTTCTTGTACAGTACCTGTACCGTAATATACTTAAGAAGCGTTATTGAATTTGAAGAAGCGCCTCACTAAACTGTGTCTATAGATCTGCTCTACATTGCACCAGTTGTAATTGGATGTTCAAGAACAGAAGTCCGCGACAAGTTGAAACGAACAGAGCCCGGCACACAATCAACCGATTTGTATGTGACGAAGCAGGTGAATAATCTATCACAATTTTAGTATTAAATTATGCAGTAATTTATAAACCACTGATGGATTACGGATTATCAAACCGATTGAAGAAGAAACTTTCGAGTAGAAGCATAGATATGATGTTTTTCCTACAAGAAGTATTATCGCAAATATTGAGCGGTGCCTTTACATAAATAAAGAAACGTCAATATCTCATGCTGGCTTACCAGCCAAATAACTATGTAATTGTAAGTAACTGGTTTCTACAACATTGCAAGAAAAACCTTTCTTTACAGTGACAGTGTGCCCTGCAGTGAGATTATATAACTCATAATTTTTACAAAAGTCGTACCGCAGCACGTACCCCCAACTCATTTTACAATACCATGTTATGAAAAACAGTACATGTAGCCCACATGTTGACAAAACCTGAAACATTCCCTACACACTTTCGAATTTCGAGCTTGACAAACGAGTTCGGACTGTGCCCAAGCTAGAAATTTTGTTTGGTGGCGACGCCCAATTTCAAGAGGATCAACTACTTGCGTCTGCCACTTGCTACTACCAAATCATGACGAATGCCCCAACTGTAGTCGAAAGCTTTGTACCAGCCGCCACCACAGTCGTCGCACCAACCGATGTATTGTCGCGCTACACTCGCTGCAAGGTTCTCCGTGTGACACCGTACGGAGAGACTGCATTATATCAAGACAGCAAATACAAAAAACTTGTTGTGTTGAAGCGCCTCAGTATTGCATTATTGCAGAGAGATGACAAGGGCTCACTTGAAATTGTCAAGGAAAACCCGCTAAATGAACGTGCAGTGATCCAATTACTTGATGATCCGCTCACTGCTCACGCTCCAGGACGCGAATACGTTGTCGAGTATAAACGAGAAGGATTCTTCACAATTGGAGACAATATATTCATTGCCATGGACTTTTGTGCAGGCGGAGACCTCTATGATTACATAACCGCAAAGTCTAGCCGACGACTTCCTGAAGCTGAAGCATTATGGTTGTTTGCTCAAATTGCCAGTGGATTGAACTTTCTCCATGCAATTGGAGTCGCGCACCGCGATTTATCGCTTGAAAATGTACTGCTGAAGGATGGCAATGTAAGAATCTGTGACTTTGGCCTCAGTGCCGACGCCAACCTCTTTTCCACTGATGTGGTGGGCAAGTTCTACTACATGGCACCAGAAGTGACACAAGGGGTTGTGTATGATCCCAAATGTGCCGATATCTGGTCTCTCGGTATACTTCTATTCATAATGCTGACCGGCTCACCTTTGTTTGCTGATGAAGACGCCCGTGCCCCAACTTTTCGCGTGTTAAACAAGTATGGCGTTTGCAAAATATTAGAGCTATGGGGTCTCAAGGAGTATTTCTCCAACTCGACCATAACTTTATTAGCAAGCATGCTGCAAGTGCAACCGTCACGCCGTCTCACCGCGAAGGAATTGGCTCACTGCACTTTGTTGCGTGGCCTCAGCACCTGCGCAAGGTTGTCCAGTGTGGCTTCGACTGCCTAGGCAGTTAGAAATAGATCGCCTCGCGCTTGTGGCAAGTGTAGTATCCACATATAAATTATGGTATTTATTGTAACGTGTACCCTAAAACTTTCATTTTTGGTCTAACCTCGAAACTCAGAGCTTTCAACTAAACTTTCCTGGATATTTCTTGCAAATTAGACGAAACCAAGTCAGCGATCGTTGATGTGAAGCAAGGGCCTTGCCAAGAATTTAATATCATGATGAAATTGCATCTTGCACTTGGGCCTTGTTACGGTTCTTAAAAAGCTGATTTCCTTTCATCAAATCACAAAAAGATTGCGACGAAAACTAAGAGAATGGAACAATACAAGCATTGAAGCAGATTACGGCTCCGAATACATTGTTTTTAATGTCAGTTCTTTTGCTTTATAAGTTTTAATTCAACTTAGTCTTGTATCAAGTCGTTTAATGAGACGCATATGTTCAGCTACGCCTCGAGCTGGATCTGCAATTGTACTTTCTTTCGTGCGCTGACGTGGATCTCATCACAGTCTCCAAAGGGTCCAATAATTAGCACAATATAGAGTAACCATAGGTATGTTTTTGTGAGTGAGTACTAAATGTAACCTTCTGGTTTAAGCCAGCAATCTTGAAGCCGGCACATGAGATTGCCAGGTAAATCATTAGCTAGTAAATCTCTAAAGTAGCTTCTGGATCAACTGCGTACACGGCTTTATAGCGATCAAAAAGCTTTTGTAATGCAGTCACGTATTCTTCATGATACTTTCTCACATCTTCTCTCGTTGGATGTTCAATCTTTGGAAAAATTAAAGGCGCACCAACCACAGTTACGAGATCGACGTCCGTTCGTGGCAGATGAAAAGCACTTAAACGACCAAAGAAGAGAGTTCCAGGAATCTTAAACTCATTGAGTTTAAGGCGAAAATTCAGCAAATACGGAAAAGTGTAGTACGCATACTCTTCACCAAATGTGTATACTGGATGCACTTTGTACCCATATTGCAACGCAAGTTTAATGAAGCCAAAGCGCTGCTTAATATACACACGATGCTTGCCTCTCACATACAATGTCGCGTCCTCAAACCCACCCGGCATCAAGCATAGATTCTGTCCCGTTTGAAGTACCTTTCGTACAGATGCCTTGGCAGCACTTGTGAATTCCATCCAATTGATTAAATCACGCATAATTGGGAAATAAAACAAATTCTCCGCTACTAACCAACGACAATTAGCATTTTCGAAGCTCATATGGTGCACGCCTCCAAACGACCATCCACACGATAGTACGCCGTGAGGATGAAAGGCAAACAGCGCATGGTCATTAGGTGGTACAAAAGCTGTCACATCGTTCTTTTCAACAGCCTCACACGCAGCAACAGCTAAATCTAGCGTCTCTTTGCTATCTACTTCAACCTTGATTTTCTCTTCAAACACTGTCACGTTTAGACGAAAATACGGATAATGCAAGAAGATATAGCGCATCAGCTGCCGCGCCCATGGCCACTGATGACGTGAAGGCCTCGTAACGTAGTGATATCCCTCGTATACCACAATAAAGCTCAAGTAAAGTTGTACATATTGCGGAACTGGCGTCTCTGCTCGTGTCACAACCCATCGAAGTATACTTGAAATCGATAATATCCAAAGCACGATAAACCCAGCGAGTCCAAAGACCCAAATTCCGCCAATAAATTGCAGCAATATTGTACGTAAGAAACGACCTTGAATTGTCTGTAGCTCTGGGCGAAGATCATTGTTGCCCCACGCTGGCGTTCGACCCGCTGCAGCGTTCCGGAGTGCCATATTAGAAGAACAAGAATACATGAAACTGCAATACTTAATGTGCCTGAAAATTGGTACATGTGGTTCCAGAGAGAGAATATCAGATTACGATGGACCGCTCGGCACGTGCAGCTCAATTAGCCGCATTGGTTACAGGCCGCCGCTATCGGCTGCTTACGATAACTGCCACAGGAATAGCAGTAGCTAGTGCAGCGCAACGTCTTCAAGAGCTTCCACCCTCGGAATCGTTCGCATCGTCAATGCAGCTCTTTGTCGCGGAATTAATGAGCTCACGCATCAGTGCAATGGTTTCGAATAATATGCTTGTCACCCTTGCTTGATGTGTAATCTCTTATGATATATATGTACACAGATTGTGCTACACTGCTTCGTTATGGCCATGTATCATCTTTTTCTTCTCTTAGCACATGTGGCAGTAGGCAAACTGCGGCCACTAGAACTACAGCAGACGAAGGAGACACTCATTCCTTTCGTATTGTTGCGCTGTCAGCTTCTTGTAAGTACTTTGGAACCGAGTGCAGAGGGACGAAGGATGGAGATTGGACTGCTTGTAGTTTGGCTCACTTCACTGGCTGTACTCCGTGCATTGCTGGCATTGACCCAAGCGAGATTTCAGCATTTGGTGACTCGACCTTTGACACAATTACGGGACTTGCACAGCCTTGGTGTAATATTAAGTGGCATCGTTATTCTGAATATTGGATTGGCAGCGACGTGGTCGCGCCTTGGTCTCTTTTCCGATAGAATTGTGCACGTGCCGTGGTTTGAGGCGTCGCTTATGATGCTAAAGACGGTAGAGCTTGGTGTGCAGGTTGGATATCAGAGCTTGGACGTACGTGCAGCCTATTTGTCGGAGGAAGATGAGGCACATTCTCCGGAGAATAGCGAGTTCCATTTACTGCTCTTACAGACTATGCTCTGTGGATGTTACTTGGTACAGCTTGTGCTGTATTATCTTTATGTCATAAGTGTAGACCAATTCCGCGTGAGTCTTTTCGATCTGATTTTGATTCTTAATGTAAAGAATGCGACTATGCGTTTATTAGACAAGGTGAAGCGAGTCAAGTTGTACCACCAGGTTGTCTTGGATCTAGATCATTTGTTTCCAGATGCAACGTCGGATGAGCTTAAGAGTGTAGCTGACGACGTGTGCGCTATTTGCTTGAAGTCTATGTCTACATCCGCCAAGAAGCTGCACTGTGGCCATCTTTTCCACCAATTGTGTCTCCGTCAGTGTCTCCAAAGGGCGTCAGTGAGTGATGTTTTGACCGGCATGGATCCGCTTACTCGCATGGCTAATGGCCTGAGTTTGGAGAGACCTGAAGTGGCTGTTGCCATTGGAACTTCAAGTTCTACTTCCTTACGTTGTCCGATCTGTCGGAAGCAAGTGTGTGGTGGAAAAGGGAATGAACCGGATTCTCTCTCGCGCGATGAGACTCACTCTAACCGGCGTGACACAGGAACGAGAGAATTACAAGGGAATTTAAGCAATCAAGACGCTGTACAACCCCATCCAGTTGTAGGCCCAGGTGCCGTAGCTCCAGTTGAAGTGCTCCGCTTTAGCAGTGAGTTTCAATCGTCATTTACCTTTACTGACGAGGTTCATTGAGTATTATATGGCTAACTTTTGCTATGATCGATATTGTAGCGGCTTTTCTATCTCGATGGGTGCCATTTCCAAACTTCTCATTTGAGATCGTTAGACATCGCAATAGTGAGCGCAATTTTGAGGTGACGCAGGATATGCTTCAGCGAATATGGGAAGTCTTTCCACAGTACACTCGAGATGAGATTTGTGCGGATCTTATGCGAACTCGGTCAGTTGAGCGCACAATGGAGCGCATTTTGAATGGACATCTGGATGAACAGCGACTTGCAATGGGGTTAAACAATAATGATGATCCTGACATGGATGCGAGTGGTTTGTTAGGCGATGCAATGATTGACTTGGGCGAAGATTTTCGATGGAGTCTTTCGACATTGGCGTCAGCTATGTGGGGTACCAATCAGCCATCTCAAACACTTGCTTCTGTGGCATCAGATTTACCAGCAAATGCTCGTCCGCGTGGCGAGTTCACTCCAGAAGTCAACATCAATGCTTCGGCTGAAGGTGGAAACCAGCCTATTGCTCACAATAATTCAGTGTCTTTCACTACGCGTGACTAGCCTCAGCCTAACACCTCGACGCTTTGAGAAATAATTATCTCGGTGATATATTAGTCAATTAGCTAGTCAACAATATGCAAAGGGTCAAGTCTGAAACTGGAGATTAGGCTTAGGAAGTCTACGCAAAGGTAGACAAAAAGTACATTTAATGTGTTTTCTTACATCAATAGTGACCTGTCATTAAATATATCACCCACGTGGCGAAATGACATTACAAGATCCTTAAGTATGACTGAACCGGACGAACTCTTTACGCTAAAGAATCACGTGTGGACTGGTAACTATGCAAACGCGCTGAGCGAGGGATCCATGCTTAATCATCTGGGTGAAGCGCTGCGTAATGAGCGCGACGTATACGTCTATAGAGCGCAATTAGCGCTGGGTAATATCGCGCTTGTGCTCCGAAGCATTCCAGACGGTGGTAACACGCCTATTGCACTGAGCGCTGTGAAACTCTGGGCAACTTATCTTAGCGGTCGAGGTGATAAGGAAATGATTGATCTGACACTCAAGGAATGGCTGGCTGATCCCACAAGTGGTGAAAACACGCATTTGCTGCTGATCGCCGGTCAGATCTTTTCTCGTGAAGGCAAATACTCAGATGCGTTATCGGCGCTGACTCGTGGTGGATCACTCGAGCATATGCTGTACATTGTGCACCTGTATCTTCAAATGGATCGAATAGACTTGGCTCAGAAGATGGTGGCGGAGATGAAGCGCATTGAAGAGGACTCAACGCTCACGCAACTGGCGCACGCATGGTGTCTAACAGTGCAAGGTGGTGACAAGGCTGATGAGGCTACGCTGCACTTTCAAGAGCTAGCTGATAGATTTGGATCCTCCACGCTGTTAATAAATGGTATGGCAGTAGCATTTATGGCACTCAAGAATTACGTTGAGGCGGAGCGCTTGCTACTAGAAGCCATCGGCAATGATTCAACTAACGAAGACACGCTTATTAATTTGATTACAGTCAGTGCACATCTCAGCAAGCCGACTCACCAATATATTGAGCAATTACAAAAGGTGGCACCTTCAAGTTTGTGGCTAACGAAGTATGCATTGCTAGATCGAGAATTTTCCGAATTGGCTGCCACTTATGCGTAAATTAGACATTGACTCAATTGATAAATTGAAAAGAAAGAGGTGACAAGCTTGTGAACATGTATGCATTATGTTTGTTACTTTGACTTGCACGAGCTTTAAGCCTCCAAGTATATTTGTGTTGGTAAGATTGTCGAGGCAATTCGTCACTTAACGTGTCAGCTCCTTGTTCATGAATTTCCGCTTGGCAAAGAATATCCACCATTTGCTTTTCTCTCCATTTGGGAACACTTCGTCTACAAGACGAAAGGCGATTGCTTCACGTAATTGTTTGAGGAAGCCTCGAATGGTTTCTGCAATAAATAGATGATAGGATTATAAAAGCTTCAAAGGCACTTTCATTTGTCAAATAAATCCTACCTGCTTCGTTCGCGCTAGATGGCGCACGCACCAGTCCACCTAGTGGAAAGCTTGAATCACCTGGAATAGCGAATGTGTCCACTGCTGTTTGCTGCAATATGCGCGTGGCTAAATTAACAAATAAATAAAAATGCACCATAAACTTTGTCAACTTTGGTGTAAATGGTGCTGCCAACTACACTTTGTGCTTCTCGCACCGTCTGCCTTGTTATTACATCGGTCCAGCTTCTTTAAGCACAAGTGTACGAAGAGTGTGCCATATATAAGCACGCGGTCGGCGTTGCCCTTGATCTCGAAATTCGTAAAGAGCACGTTAGCGCGAAAAAGCGTTAAAATTTCATCCACAATGTCGTCCTGATCCTCAGGCGCAGGAGGGGCGGGCCCTCGCGCACGTGTTTTGATGGGAAGAATGGCACAGCCACAAGCCTCCTGCGATCGTAATTCATTCAGTGTCGAGTGATACGCCGGCATGCTTAAGTGGTGCGAGGTGAGGAGTGTACTCACGTCAGATATTCAGAAGCAAACTGTTAAACTTAAATTAATTTGCAAAAGTTCCACATAAGGTTTTCTTACAATTCTGCTTTGGATTTTGTTGGAAATCGATATTATATATGTCTAGCAATAAACGAAGGAAGTCGTCACTTCAAGTGAAAAATGCATGTTCGTATCGGCGCTTTAAGCTAGCGCGCATGCGCGATAGATGATGACATATGTGCGCACGGACGTGCTTGCGCTCGTGCCCTGTCACGAGGACAGACGTAATACCAGCACAAATAAGAGAAAACTTTGACTGCTGTCGCGACTTCGCGCTCAGCAGCGGCTTCAGAACACGCTTGGTAAGCGCCCACGACGCATTTCTAACCGAATGCGAGGTATCGTTTCGTAAACTAAATGGGACTAAGCCATACAAGGGACCAGATTTTGTGCGTCCTTACCTTATGCGCTGCCAAATGTATGAGTTTTTTTGCAGAACTAATTGAAAAGAGGACATTGAAATCGACCTGCATGGCCATCTCCTTTGTGAAACGGCTGAGAACTACTATAACAAGCAAAGTAGATACGTTATTGAACTAGATGTCAACGCTCTATTTAGGCATACACCAGCTATTTCGCTGCGTTTAAACTGACGATTGCAGCGACAAAACTGTCCATGCAGGTGATATTTTCTTTGAGTAGCTAAATACTACATCTACGTTGCCGCTGTCAACGACGCATGCGCAGGAAGCAGGCAATAGAACGCAAATGCAACGCTTTGTATGTTGACGTTGACAAAGAAATGCGCCGGCAATGGCTGCGGTGCGACAGCTGGCAGCACTCTTAAACGTCGTGTCTCCTCTATGATGAAAGCTGTATTCATCGCCGTTTCAAAAATGGCACTTGAAATTCTCGGTCTTTGAGATGCGAGGATGGCATTGCACTGGCTGTTCCAATTTGCGACTGCACGTCTACAACTAAGCCGCGAAGTGTCATCATTGAAGGCAGAACATATCAAAGTTGGGTTAAATTCTGCGCGATTTATCACAGTGCGGCCAGATTGATTTTGTTTATTTACGTTGAAGCTGATGCTCGCTGATCTGATGACCAACGCGCACGACGCCTCAAGGATTACCACGCTTCATGATCTCACGCGTATTGGCTAGAAGAATGCAAAAGACTGTCATTGACGTTTAGGAAAATGACAAGAATTTGAAAAGGATCGGAAAGCGCATACGAGGTAAATATTGGAAGCTGACGTCTCATCAAAGTGAATATACAATTAGCGCCAGTCATTGTTTTCGTCATTTAGCTCGTGAGTGGAAGAAAAGTAGACGATTTGTCTGTCCAACATCTCGAAATGATTTTAAGCAGAAAGCGGTAAGAATCCGTGTAGAAGTTTGACATTCTTAAAGAGAAGCTTATCATCCGGATTAAGATAGCGACTTGTTTGGCTGGTAAGCTTTTAAAATCAAACATTGAATTATAATCAGACTCGATCCGTTGTCGGCAAAATTGCATGCAAAGAGACACCAATTACTTTATAAGTCTGAGACCCAAACTAGAAATTATTCATAAATTCTCAGAATACAGCTCATATTCCGTCTAGTAATCAAAACAAGTGTGAGGTTCAAGACAAACAATCCATTTATTTTTCTTGAAAATTCTACGGCAAGCGTACCGACGTTTCCTACGGACCTTCTCGACCTTACAGTTTCCCATTGCTCTCACTCTCATACTGATCCTTTACCTTGGGCAATCCGACCAGACAATGTACGAAGTGAAGAATTTTATCGAATGTCATGCGCCGATGTGCGACGCAATGGCTGAAGGCTATTATGTGTAAAAATAACAAGTTGGTTTTAGAAGCAGACAAAACAAAATGAATATTTAGTAAAGAATACTGTTTATTGAAGACTGATAGTCTTTACTCCTACATTTATGAATCCAAGTTGCGACAACAGAACCTTTCAAAGTCCTAGCAACAAGAATATTGAAATATCCTGAAAAGAATGCAAACACATCATGGGTTCTGTGTAGGCTCTTCGAAGCCATACTACAATTCCACTTTACGAGCGAGTGTGGTTATTGGTGAGGGCAGAAAGCGTTTCGTTGTTCATTTGTCTACTTAAATTCGATCAAAGCACATTAATCAAACTCCGTCATAACCGCGCTGTAAAGCGCAGATCTCGATCCAAAATAGTGGCCACGAGCAAGCCATATTGGCGAAATCTTTGTCTTGGTTCGGCAAATGGCTCGTTTACAACAGCAAGATGAGCCACCTACCTTTCTTGGTCCATCAATGCGACAACGCCGGCATTACTAAGCACAGCTTTTGAAAGATCAAAACCAAAGCTCGTTGCCTTGGTCAACCGAGACTATAGCACAATCGGCAGACTGACCAAGGGCACCGCCATATACGGTGGGAATCGAATCTATTGACATTTCTCACATGCGCAGAAATACCCCTACAAAGCGATGTCTAAGCCGTATATCTGTAGCAAAATGGCCTGTCAGGTGCCTCGTATAGTATTCTGCTCACGGCTCTTGTCGATAGTTATCACCACACCTTGAATGGCGTGTGGTTCAGCTCGGTATTCAGCAAGTTTTCAAAACGAGAAGCGGTGCATTAGTGCATCAAACGCTTCGAAAGAACAAATTTATTTGCGTTGCTTCCTAAAGTATTCAGCGTCGAAACACATATTGAGTCTGATTTGCACGCTGCACATACCTCTTTGGCTTTGCGCGACGTCCCCATCGCAAAATTCGACACCGGATAGTCGAGATGGCGCGGAAGCGCATCCAGTACCACATAAAGCCGACTTGCACTAAACCTCACCTAGTGAGTTTGGCAAAGACGGATAGTCATCTTGCCATCCCCTCCGAGAGATGCAGTGGTGACAACGCTGTGCAACTTGACACATAGCCTGTATAAATCGCACATAAATCTTGGCAGCGCAGGTGCATGTTGATCTTGACAAATAAAATATTTCATAGCAAAAAGTCTTTGTCGTGAATAGCATAGTCCTCCCTGCAAGCTTATGCTGGCGAGAGGCAAACGCGATGACGCTCCATACCATATTACCATTTGCTTAACGTGGAGCACATCTTATGACAGCTGCCAAATCATCTGAGACGACACGAAATAGCCAGGTTTATCTAAAAGGGCCAGAGTTGTGGCTCAAATATGGCTTTCTTTCATCACTTTGAAGTCCGCATTTTATGCTGCATTTTAACGAAATCTAACATCCATTTCATGGTGAGCGCTGATAACTGTCGTGATACGCACTACGCTTGTGTAATAGCTGGCCAGATCATCTCAATTCCATAAACACTCTTGGGGTAGTGGCACTGGCTAATTCAGGAAAGCCTACATGATCGCGAAATCTGCCCGCAGACCATGCTTTACAATGAAATCTCGAAGAAATGAAATTGTCGCCGAGAACACACTTGTAAATTTCGGTAGATAGTTTGTTTAGGCGACACACTTGAATCCTGCTGTCAAGTAATTTATGGAGGATCTCTTCATCCAATTAATCAATACCGCGCGTTTATGGAGGGATGATCGTCCGAATAGCTTTGCATGTGCCGTGATGCGGCGTAGATAGCTGCACCATCAGACGAATGAGCGTCGCTGGTGCATTTAACAGACCCTGGACATTGCCAGCAAATCTAAAGACTTTGCTCAAAGTGTTTTCCGCAGTAAGAGGGGTATTGTTGTCGCTCATGATCAATTTGTAGTAACCATCGACTGGGTCAGGAACAGTCTGTAGTAACCATCAACTGGGTTAAGAACAGTTTGTAGTCACCATCAATTGAGTCAAGAACAGAGAGCAAGATGCTGTAAGCTATCATTATTCTATTGTGAGGTTTTACTATGAGGCGGGTTCTTGTCAACTTAGCGGCTGACATTAGCCTGCACAATTCGTCACTTATCACTCGCCTTCCAGACTAAAAATCAGCGTCGAGCGGGAGACATAATTCTGCCACTAAACTCACTTCGTGCTTTACGCATGAGAAAGTGTCAATAACTCCATATTATTATTATTTTGATATGAGTTATCGATGTTGAATACAGCGTTATTTACGGAGTTCAACACGTGCGGTGGGTCTAGTTGTACTATTCTTCAGTAAAACTTAAAGAAATCGGCTAACTCTTTAAGGTATCTTTCCTGCTTTTCGCGCTGTAGCAGACTCATCCATGACGGAAGATGCACTCAGCTCCTTTTCTAGAAATTGCCAACCTGGTGATACCAGCGTCTTGTGATTTGTTCCGTGGGATAGTTTCTTCAGCTTAACTAGAGCTCCTACTTTACTTCGTTTTATCTTTTTCACCGATATTGATTCCCGAAGATCTTAGACAGCAAATAAGTAATAGCACACCATCGTTTTATCCTTTTCACCGATTGTGATTCCTGAAGATCTGATACAACAAAATCCTTGTCATTAGAAATGCACTGTCGAGACCGCGACAAAAGCTCGCTATCTCCCATTTTGTCTAGAGGTTGCCGTGTGATGCCGATTACATAGTTCAAGGATCATCTCACTATCGTTGCATACTGTCTCGAAGAATACCACAGCATCGGCCAAGGTAACTGCTGCAAGCTTGAATAGGGTTCAGCTTCCTATCAGGGGTACCGTAGTAGTATTAAGTGGGGAGCTCCAAACGATTTCAATTTCGAGTAATCCATGGCTCATGGATCTCCAGCCTCGCCATATTAAGGCTGAGATTGTATGCTGAGTCCTGGTTTATGAGCAAAAGTTGTTCGACGCGGTCAACGACTTAAACCTTATGGGGAGGGTAGGTCAAAATCATCTTCAATACTCTAACCATTGCTTCCGCCGGAAAACATTGTAACGGAACAAGTATTTGTATTCTTGGCAAACGTTGCACGTATCTATTGGTTGAAAAGTAGTGCTGCCAGCGACGTTCATTCGCTGGTGACACAGTTAATCCGGCCACATCACAGTAGCGCACTGCGATATATTCACCCATA